CCACCGACACACACACACGACACGACTACGACGTACGACGACCACACACACACACACACACACACACACACACACACACACACACACACACACACACACACACACACACACACGCACGCGCACGCGCGCGCGAGAACGCACACACACACACACACACACACACACACACACACACACACACACACACACACACACACACACACACACACACACACACACACACACACACACACACACACACACACCAGCTTGGCGTGAGAGTTTGTGAACATTCTGAGGCCATGCAGGTGGTACATTCTGGATTGTACCATTCACACACAGATCATATGTTCATAATCTCAGGTGTACACAAAGCAGTGTTTGGAAGCTGAATACTGAACTACACAGAGGTTGTTGGACTCTGAAGGCCTACGCCCACTCCCCAGTCTGTGATGTCATGGCAGGTGTTTTGACTGATATAGAGGGATGGAAAATTGGGACACGAGGCGTCCTGTTGACCTAGGAGTCTTGCTGTCCCATGGTCAGGTCCTTTGTCCTGTGTCCCTGTCCTCTTTCTAATGTTGCCTGTATGTCATAACTTCCACATTGATGAGACCAGATGGCTTATTTTAGCTCCACATTGACACACTAATATGTTGTGCTTTTGTATTGCGTTTCAACAGTTTTTTTAAATGTCAAAGAGGACTGAATGTACTTTGCATCATCAATTAAGATAGGACAGCTCAATTAAGCAAAACCTTAAGTCCCTAGCTCCTCCAACAAGGCAACATAGTTATAAAAGACATAAAACAATAATAAAATTAAATAAATAGTGTCGAATAGAATAGTGCAGAGTATGTTGCAGACCAATGTGCAAGTAACGCAGATGAAGTAACCTATATACATGTCAGGAAAATGAATAATATGTGTGTGTGTGTGTGTGTGTGTGTGTGTGTGTGTGTGTGTGTGTGTGTGTGTGTGTGTGTGTGTGTGTGTGTGTGTGTGTGTGTGTGTGCGTGTGTGCGTGTGTGTGTGTCATACTGTGAGTGAGGTGAAGGTCAGGCAGATTCCTCCGAAGCCGTTGAAGGAGACAGCGAGGAAGATGAGGAAAGACAGCGCTGATGGAACACATAGAAATAAAGAAAATAAGCTTTATTGGCACTTTAAAGGTGCATTCAGAGTTTCTTTCAATGTGAGAGTTAAAATGTGTACTTTCATCCATCATTAAAAACTGACAGTGAGCACCCAACATGTTCAAAATTATTTCTGAAAAACGATGTGAAGAAAATGTAATTTCCTTTTACAACACAGTTGGGGAATTCATTAATTAATTCTGTTCCAAGTCACTCTAACTGTTTGTAGCCGGTTTCGTCAAGGACTTGTAAATGCATTTCTACAGCTTTACAGATAATTGAAAACATTTACAAAATACAGTAGGACATGAAGTTAAAAAGGCTGCATGTTTTTTCTATATCTCTGGTGGAGTATTGTACTGTTACTGTACCTTCAGGATCATAAGCAGCGGCAGCCATCATGGCACAGGAAGCTGCGAAACATGCGCTGAAAAAGAGACAGGATGTCAGAGCACGTTGACTGTGGTTCCGATGGTACTTTTATTTAATAGGTTGAAATCTGCGCTTATGTTCTGATAAAAGGCAAATAACAAAGGAATGTCTGTCACACCTGCCAACGAGCCTCAGTGGGCGTGGCCCAAATCTGTCCATCAGGATGCCCAGAGGCAGAGTGGCTGCACTCAGGAGGAAGGAGCCAATGGTGAAGCCCAGGTTCAACACCTCCTCCTGCTCCGTACAGCTCGGCCAGGCCCCGCTCTCCACCACGGTCACGTTGGGGTCCACAGTCACATTTTCTGGATGGTTTCATAGAAAAAAGGAGAATGTAGAGAACAGAAAAAATCCTCACTGCACTGAGAACCGCAACATGACACTGTGTGGGTAAAAATAACACAATATATCGCTGCCAACAGGATAGGCCCAGAGCAGTTAGTCTTTGTGTTGGTGGTCACAGGTCAATGCAAGAAGCTGGTTTGTCTCGGTCTGGGCTGATTTTTGGGAAGTTCATTTTGTCCGCTTGTTATTAATCACATGGTAGTTGCAGCTTTGATATATGGTCTTGTTTTATAGAGGCTCAAACCTTAACTAAATAAACGCACTGCTGCTGTTGCAAACACTGCCAAAAGCTTTGCCAATGACTCATGTTAAGATGACATTATTAAACAATATGTTCTATTAGTTCTGATTCTATGTCAAAGTTCAAATCTGGTAGTAGGCTTTAGTAGCAATATTCTGTTCTTTCATGTGGCTTGTGTAGAATATAAAAGAGGCTCTTCTTGATCCTAGCCAATGACCATCTGCATACACTGAGGGTCAGTGTTTTTTCTAACTTCTAAGAGTACATTAACAGAAGCATCCTATCTCTTGTTTGACCCTTAATGTTACCAGCTGGCAAATTAATCTTGCATGTCTTGGATTAAGTTTCAACAAAGAAACCTAAGAAACTAAATAGTTAATAGTATCCAAAGAGACTCAAGGATCATCTTTTATAGTAGTTATTTTTAAAACAAGAAATATTGCAAAATGGAATGGTTGTCATATCCATCAGTAAAATCAGTCCTGGAATAGACTCCAAAAACAATCATGTTCTCCTCAAAGAAATAGAAACCTCCCTGAACCTCGAGCATGTCGGCACTAAGTCACACACCTAAAACATTTAAGCATCTGTCTGTACCAGATGTACTGTACCACTATTAGAAATGTCCATGTAAAACAACCTGTAACACAATAATATTGTAGCTTTGAAATTATGGGAGAATGTTATGTGTGCCTACTGGGGATGTTAACGGCACTAGAAAGGACCAGAGGGCAGTTCTGATGGTGCTCTCACCAACACAAAGGTGTGAGAAGAAGCCTTCGCTCTTCAGCATGATGAGCAGTGAGCCCCAGCCCAGCAGCACTGCAGAGAAGAGCAGGTTCTCTATGATGGCTGTGACTGCCATCCACCACCTCCTCCTGAAGGCCTGGGCCAAGCTGGGAGCCATTGCAGCTGCTGGACAGGAAGCATGAAGAGGAAAACATTAGTCCACTGAACAACTGGGAATCTGCACAGTCCAACAAATCTTAACTCTGCACCAACATGCTTTACTACCTTGTAGTTTTCCCACATAACGTTAAACCCCTGAACAGAGATCCTACTGTTTCTGTTTCAAGATGTCCTTATGCATTTCTCATGTCATCTGTGGAGGCTTTTGCAATTTGTTTCCTCCCTATCTTGTGTTTGACAAGCCTAGAAAAACACTACAAGGGCGACCCAAAACAAGTTTCTGCAAATACAGTAGTGGAGTAATTCAAATATGTAGAAGGTGTTATACCTTTATTTCATTTGAGTGGTCAGGGTTATTGGATATGTAACTAAAGATACTTCGAATACAAGACCATTGCTTTACACTTTGTCATCAACATCTTTTTAATGTTTCGTCCCTTCTTGAATTACTTTTCAATTTTAGCTATTATTGTTGTAATTGTCTAATTTTACTTCATTGCAGTCCTTAAATAGTTTTTCTTCCATGTAAAGCACTTTTATTTTAATTTTGAATAATGAATAAGAAAAAGTAGGGGCTGTTAAACTGAGATTATGATTACATTGTGATATCAACGGTGAGTGAAAATGTAACTGAACTTGGTCTGTAAACTGTGATGCATATTTAGGTAATAACGTCTGATAGTGTTCTGATTAGTAAATACTATAATAATTCAGGAAAAACTTTCCCAACATAGAATCATAGCATGACAACATGTTTTTAAATAAACTGAGCTGTAATTAGGTTTTATGCAAGTATCAGCTGTAATGACCAAAATAAATATACTGTATTCCCTCACCAATCATTGCCTGTCAGTCTTAATCCAAGTTTATTCAAAACACACAGTGGAGTTTTTTTATTTCAAAACCAATTCATTGTCTATATTAATTCTTAAGCACATTTAACTAATAAAACATCTAACTTTGTATATCCCAAAATGACATCTCCATTTATTCTAACTTTTTGGCAGTATACTTTATTGTCCCCGTAAGGAAATCAGTTTTGGACTCCGTCCTGCAGTTCCACCAAATATTTTTTTTTAAATCATAAAAAGGCTACTACGTATAGTACACGATAAGTGTTTATGTAGTCATTTTGATCCAAGATCCCTCCGCTTCGCATCGGGTTCCCTATTCATCCTGAAGGGTGTTCTTTTCCCCATAATGACCGCCTCGCTGCACATTATCCCGCTTATGACACGGCCAGATCAGAGCCGGCCCGACCCATTAAGCGACATAAGCGGCCGCTTAGGGCCCCGGTGTGTGTGTGGGTGGTGTGCA